GGCTTTTGGCTTTTGGTGACTTTGGCTTTTGGCTTCCGGTGGCTTTTGGTGGCGTGTGGAGGCTTAGGCTTTTCGTGGCTTCGGTTGGCTTCTGTTGGCTTTTCGTGGCTTCATTCACTGATATGGGATATATATATATTAGTGGTATGTTCTGTTTGGATCTTTCTAGTGGTATATTATGTTTTTTGCTTTCCAGGCCTAGCTTTGGGAAGGAAACAAGGAAGGAAGGAAGGAAGGAAGAAAGACAGAAAGAAAGAAAGAAAGGAAGCGGTGGTGTCGTGAGTAACTTAGTGGAGGTAGACGCCATTCCAATGTAGCAGCTTAGGGTAAGATTTAGAGGAGACATCGGCCAGCCCAATGTAGCAGACCTTTTCTAAGCCAGCCCACGGCAAAATTTAGAGAGCGCAGAAGCCACCCATTGTAGCACACCGGTACAATTAAATAGGCGTCGGTGCTTGCTGCTGGAATCGATCTTCTCAGAAGCAGCTGGGAAGGGTTCTCCTTCACGAGCTGGTACAGTACCAACTTAAACTGTCTAACTATCATCTGTACCATCGTCTTAGACATCATATTCAGGATCTTCTTGATGATTTATCACCACCACCACCACCATCAGCATCATCATCAACATCACCATCACCATCACCATCACCATCACCATCATCATCATCATCATCATCATCATCATCATCATCGTAAACACTATCAGCCTCATCAGCGCAAACTGTCACTGTTATCATCATCATGTTCATCCTCCTCCTCCTCCTCATCATCATCATCATCATCACCTTCTTCGTCATCATCACTTGAAGTTGCAAGATGCTTGTCAAGGTCCATCACGTGCGCCTGCCACGAAATCTGCACTTCGAGGTTCACAAAGTGCAGCACCTGCCACGAAATCTGCACTTTGAAGTTCACGAAGTGCTGTGGCTGCCACGAACTCTGCACTTCCAGGATCACGAATTGCTGCGCGTGCCACGAAATTTGCAACTGAAGGTGCTCAAAGTGCTGCGCCTTCCACGGAATCACCATATTCTAAGGCTACCAGAAAGAAATTCCCAAACAAGACAGAAAAAATCCTAAAGAACATCGTCGGCCCAAAACACAGCCGCCCCACATTTTCTCCTATAATATATAGCTCCTAGCTGCCTGTCTAGACAGAACAGAGGGAGGTCCTTGAGATTGAAGGATCAACAGCCTGCTTGAGCTATGTCCGGTGCATCTCAGAATATTGCATTGTCTTCGGCTGCGTTGGCTTTGGTTCTTGGCTCCTTTTTGGGCAGCCGTTTTTCTGAAACAGGTATTGTTGCGGTCGAGGGTGCCTGATCAGATCCTGTCCAGCTGCAACAGGAACAGAGAAGGATGTGACATTGCGCAGCTGATTCACGGAAATCCCTGGCAACTTTGGTGGATCAAGCGCTCGCTGGAAGTGCAGGGGTTTGAAGACCAGCTTCATGCTTGTGGAGCGTGTGGCTGGGATATTCTTTTTTGTAGACTGTTTGGTTTCATGGAGTCTATTGGTTTCCCGCCATGGCCGCAGTCAACAAGCCCCCTTCTTGTGTGATGCCTGTGAAGAAGCGTGCGTCTCCATCCAAGCTCAAGCGGGATTTTGCCCGATGCTGGGCTCGGAACAGATGGCTCTCAACCACGAGCCGGGTGCCAGACGATGTTTCTTTGAGCCCACTTGACCGGTTGCTTCCCGAAGTGGTCTCGGCCTCCGGTTTCTTTGGCGAGTTTTTCTGTAGCTGGCGATCCACAGGCGCTTCGAAAGCCACAAAGTCAAGCCACACCAAAAGAAGCAGAGACCTCCTTCCTGTGGCGCCGCTTTCGCAGTGGCCTTGTGACTCAGCCGCTTTGCCTTGCCCGGATAGCACAGCGTTGCTTTTTCTGAACTTGTGCCTGGCATCTTTGAACTTGTTGGCCACAGACCTCCGCCCCAACATGCAGAAAGTCGCATACGGCGAGCTGTCTTTTGCGCAACGCGCTATGGTGGAGCATGTAGCAACACGCTGCGCACGTTTCTTGGTAGAGCTGCATATTCCAGATCACAGTTTTTCGGATTGGAGAGGTAGGTTTGGACACTTCGAAAGTGTGCATCAAAACAGGTACCCCACCATGGATGCTGGGATGGTTGACCTCCCGGCAGTGGCAGCCACGTGTGACTCTATGTCCCTCATTCCGGAAGAGTTGGCGCAGAGCATTTGCAATCCAGACCGCTTGTTCCCATCTGCAAACCCCAACGGGCATTTCAGTTTTGGCGCCGCCGGCCCTGAAAGGGATGAGTATGTGAAGCTTGTTCTGCGACAACTGCAGTGTGGTAAGACAAAGCTGCGGAGAGAGGTTTTCGCCGTGGGTGACGTTTTCTGCGTGCCAAAAACCACTCCTGGAAAACAGCGAGAGGTTTGGAATGGAGCAGCCGTTTCAGAAGCTGCAATAGAACCGCCACCCAGGACAAGCTCGCCAACCCAAGCTGTTTTGTGGATTTGCTTTTTCGGAAGGGCGACGCTGTCTACATGTCAAAGCGAGATGTGCAGACTTGCTTTGATGTGCTGAAGGCGCCTGAGGAACTACAACGATGGTTTGGGCGACCCCCAGTGACACTGCACGAGTTGAGACGTATCTCTGGTTTGTCATTAACCGATTTGGCTACATTTATCGCTGATGGGGCGGACGTTGGGCTTTTTGCACCTTTGTTTCCCACAAGCACGGTGTGGCCTATGGGCTTCAGCTGGAGCTCTTGTGTGGCCCAAGCCTGCGCAGTAGCTTGCTGTTTTGAAGCTGGTGTTGAGGATGGAAGCTTTATGTGCATGGACAGGCCCCCGCCGTCAGGTCAAGAGGCGTGTGGCGTGGCAACTGATGACGCCTTTTTCATCCACAAGGACAAAGACATTGGCCAGCAAAGGCTACTTCGTTTGGATGCAGTGCTTGAGCAGCATGGGATGCCGAAGAATGAAGCCAAAGATGTGACTTTGCAGCCTGAGATGAACTGCGTTGGGGTGCCAGCTCACTGCTGATCCCCCTGCTGCGGAACCTGCAAGTGCAAAGCTGGTCCAACTGTTCGCAGCAATCCTGGACCTTTTCCTTGCTGGCAGAGCTTCCCCGAGAGCGCTCAACAAAGCTTTGGGTATCGCGCAGTGGTTTTGCTTGCTGACGAGGCCTATGTTCAGTGTTTTCAGTTCTGTCTACGATTTTGTTCGCCTAGAGCCGCAGGATGCAATTCAGGCTGTGCCAGAACAAGTGCGAACTGAATTGGCAGTTGCTGCTTTCCTCATGCCCTTGCTGGGCGCGGACTTGGGCAGGGAGTTCTTACCTTTGCTCACAGCTTGTGACGCGGCGCCTGCTTTTGGATTTGGTGTCAGCTTTTTGAGGTGCTCTGCTGCCTTGGTGGAAAAAGTTGGATCCTTGGCAGAAAAACGTGGGGACTTTGTCCGTTTTTTCCCAGATCCAGCTGACCCGGTGCCGCCCGACAGGCTAGGCAATCCCCACAAGCTTCCCGTTAGCAAGTCAGACTTCAGGGTAGCGATTGCTGCGAAAGCCCGGTGGCAGGCGCATTCTGGCATCTTGGAAGCGCATGGGCTTCTTCTTGCAGTTAAGCGGTTGCTACGTACACAGAAGCATTTTCACAGGCGATTAGTGGTCTTGATTGATGCAAAAGCTGTGTTGGGTGCCGCGACAAAGGGCAGGACTTCTGCCCCCTGCATTCGAGGAGTCCTGCGGCGCTTGGGTGCTACATTGCTGGCTGCAAATTGTCTTCTTCGACTAGTTTACGCGCCAAGCGAAGAGAACCCAGCTGACGCGCCTTCCAGGGGTGTCAAGAAAAGCATCGGCAAGAGGAAGCGCGATGCTGTGAGAGTGTGAAAGGCATCATCCAGCCCTCCTTTGTTTCACTTGATTTGTTCCCTTTCGCCTACACTCTGCCAATGGATACCGGGGACTCTGTGACTCAGCAATGCAATTCTTGTGTGTTGTGTGGGCTTCAACCAGTTGCGGGCAGAACTGGGTCCTGTTTTCGTTGGTGTGGGTTTCCGCGGCCTGTGCCCACCGCGATGTGCACCCGTTGCATGTTTTCCCTGCACTTTTGAATTCTCGGCAGTCTTTCTATTTCCTGCCAGTCGCTTGTTGTGTGTGGGACTCTATGTCTTGTGGCTGCTGCAGTTGGGTCACGGCTACCGCTTGGAAGTCTGGCTTCTATTTTTTCTTGCTGGATGAGCACAGTCTTTTT